TTGATTTTTTGTATTTAAAATAAAAAAAAAAAAAAAAAAAAAAAAAAAAAAAAATCCATGGGAGAACTTACCCACTATCTCTGCTTCCACCTGAATTCAAACATAAAAATAAATAAATAAATAAATAAAACCTAAAACAATTTAATATACAATAAACTGTTTTTTCAAAGCCAGACTACTTAAGGTCAAGGAAAAATGTTTTATTTTCACTACTTAAGTGAAAGGAATTTTTTTTAATTAAAAGACATAATTAGAAGTAAAGATGTATTCATTCATCCCTCTATTACTTATATAGAGATATAACACACTAAAAATGCAAAACAGTGTAATTTTAAGATCATTTAAACCGTTTTCTAAAACATGAAAACAGATGCTACATTTCATAGGACAGGACAACAATAGACAAAACACTTACCTCTGGGAGGGAGTGTGCTGATGAAACAGCCAAGTTTACCATAAGAAGAATGTAGCTTTTTACCCTCATGATATGTCTGGATTGAACCTAAATATTAAAACTTTTAAATCAAGGTGTTCCTCAGTCAGACAATCCAGTCAGCTGGGTTACTGTGCCTCTCTCTTATTTGTGTGGATCTTTAATACCTTCAGCTGCCTTATCTAAAACAGCATATTTTCCAGGTTAAACAAAACTTAATGATTGATAGAGAAGCCCAAATGATTTCCTGGATAATGTTTTACAGATCTAATTTGCATAGATAAAATGTTTTATTTTCACCACATACTTTCATTTACATTGTGTTCAGTCAACAGAACTTAGTCAAATCAAATTTTGAGAAAAAAAAAAACAAAAAAACTATTCAAATTTATTTTCTTTTTAGGTTTTGAAGTTTGTACCCAGATAGAACTTATTGTTTTATGGTGATTCCTTACAGAATGACAATCTTAACATATGCAGAATTTAGCATTGAAGATACTGGTTTCCTGTAAGTTAAAGGTCCTGGGATACTAATGCAAATCAGAAAATACACAAGTAGCTGTGTCAGAGGATTTATTTATTTATTTTTTTTTCTTTTTGTGAAATGCCTTGAAATGGCATGTGTTATGAATTGACATTATACAAGCTGAATTGAATACTAAAGCTTTAGAAGCTGCAACTGATAGGAGGCAAAGAATTAAGACTTAAGTTAAATTCACAGTGGCTTAAATCATTCCCCCTCTCGCCCCCCAAAAGTGATTTTGGAAAAAATAAATAAATAAATAGAAGACAGACAAGAAAAGACAGAAAAAAAACTATTAGGAAGGTGACGATTTACATAAGTGTCGTAACTGACTGTTTTACGATAATGTGAGAGAAAAAGTCAACGCTTCAATTCTCCAGCAGATGGAGCCTTTGCCCAGAAAAATAATATCAACTCCAGCGATTGGATTGTGACAGTAAGACAAGCGGAAGCAGGGCGTCTTTGCCTTCGTAATTACTCCGTCGTTCACATTAATTCCCTTCCTTCTGCTTTTATTGCAGTCATAATCCGCATATTTGCTGCTAAAATGGCTCTCACATACGAGGAACCACAACCAGAAAGTAAGTTTGTTAATATTTATTTTCGAATAAACGAAAGTTTACTTTTTGATGATTTCATTCATTCCCGACTTGAACAGGTACTAGGTGATTTTTTTATGTATCCGATTATGAAACACACCTTAATTTATGTGTTATACATAATTGTTATTCTCGGGTTAGTCTCACAGTCTTACAATAAAAAGAGACAATAAGTTAGAAACTTATTCTGCTCTGCAGAGTTCAGGCCTACCCGGCCTGAACTCTGCAGGCTGCATTGGCTGCGGTTGACTTTTATTTCACACATTATGTTGTCCAAATCCCTCTGTTTTAACTTCACATAGAAGATGTGTGTGTTTGTAAAGTATTTTTCTAGTTTCCTACGATTTAAAACTTTCTAAGAAATCATTTTTACTGCGTCATTTACCAGCATCGGCCTATTTTAAAAACTATGTGGCCTATACGAGTGAATATTATGTCACTGCTGTATAGAGGACCCATAAATTGTATTTTTCTACCGTTACATATAAAGCGACTACTCCTTTGCCAGAACGTGATTAAGAATCGTAGAATAAGAGAGAAGGTTTGAATAAGTCTTGTATGGATCAAAGTAACGAAAAATAAATGCCTTTTAGATAATTTCCTACAGTATTAGAGTGCATTCTTAACTTTTCTCAAAGGTTTCACTTCCTTTATCTGAGGAGTTACTGTGAATGGCAAATAATCATCTCAAATGTCATCTGAAGGCGAGTTTATGAAATATATATTCAAATCACACAAATCACAGAGAGTTGCATTTTAATTGCAGTCCAAATTTACAATACAATTACAACATAAAATATTGTAATCTTTGTCAGGAGACACAAATAAATGCAGAGTCATTAACTTTTCAGCAATCAAGAGCAAACATGTGGCAACAGGGGATTTTCTTTTGAGCAGGAAGAAACCTTTAGCAGAACCAGGTTCAGTAAATTTAAGTCATCTGCTTTAATTTGGAGATATTAGTGTTACTATTTAAACTCTCAGCAGCACCTTACATCCACTGACCATCAGTTTCTACTAATTTGTGCTCAACATATGTAACAAATGAACAGATATTAGGGAGTTCCATTCTGACTTTAATATTTCTTTTTCTCTTAGTGTCACATTTTTACAATATTTTCTTCTACTCTATTTATTATACACTTTTCAGAATATTAAGTTGATGCTTTTGAATATTATTGCTTTGTAATCTAGTAATCCTGGCCATATTGTGTTTTCATTTTAAAGGTGGGAAAGGCCTTCCCACCCAGGAAAGTGGGTATGTTTATCCATTGTCTTCCTTTTACTTTCATTTTGATAAATGCCAGCATTTTCAAATTTAAACTAATATTTTCTAAATGAAACTGCGTGCAAACACATTCCTTTGTCTGTTACAGTGATGCAGGTTTCTCAGCTGACATGAAGCACGTCTCCAGTGACAATTACATTGCTGGATGTGGGTTGCCCAATGCAAATAAAACGAGTTCTGTGAGACCCATGTTTATTGAGGCAGAGATCTCCGAGCTGACAACGAAGGAAATGCCAGTGGTGTTTGAGCCTAATTACTGTGCGTTTACCGGGGAAGAGTTGGGTGAAGCGAGAAAGTGGAAGCAGTCAAGCCCTGACCCGGAAGAGCAACCATTTCCAGGAAAGATGGACGGAGGACTGAAAGAAGTGTTCGCTCCGTGCCGCCCGAGACAGAAAGCTCGGGAAAAAATTCAAAAGAGACATCCGAGGGTTCCAGGGAAAAGAATTACTGATCGCTACAGCACAAAATTAAAGTGGAAAACCTTGATTGGTAGTATGAAGTTAGAAATCTATTTATATCTCCTGTGCTCAAAGTTAAAGAAACAATATGCATGATAAATAAACACACATTGTATTTCTTGTCTGTTTTTACAGTGTGTTGTTCCATGATGACAATGCAATTAGTTGGTGTCTGTGATGCGTCGGCTGGTATGTTCTTAAAAACTTTTCAATATACTCCACTTCAAACCACCAGAAACATTTCACTTACAAAACAATAATTATTAAAGCAGTGATATGGCTTATATTCATCTAGCTTAAGTGTAAAATTGATCGTCATTGAATAATGCAGGTTCACCACTTTCAATAAAATATACTAAGGTTAATGACCCAATCATTAGTTAAAGTTGGAAAGCTAAAACTAATTATGACTTAGTTCAAACCTTCAGGATTTGACAGAAAAATTCAGAGAATCTATGATTCACTCTTACCTTTAGGGAAACCAAAATACTCTCTTATGAAGACAGGAAGAAGCCATCTGTGTGGATAGGGATGAATACTAACTAGAGCGGGAATGTTAGTGCCCGACGGTAAAATTACAACAATCATTTTCCTCTACTCCACTATTAGAAAAGCTTCAAGAAGTTGATTTGTAGCCAACAATGATGAAGCATCTACTAAAGGTAGTAGGTATGTAAACTGATGTGATATCAAGTCTTTTATATTTTATCTGTTTTGACAATTGTTGATTGAAATCTGCGCTATATAATACAAGTAGAGTTTTAAGAGAAGTCCTTTCTATCATCTGTGGCTGTCAAAGATTAACTGATCTCTCATTCCTAACAAGACTTTGCTGCTTTACTCTCCAAATTAAATTGCAAAATAAAATAACACCACAAACTATGAGACATTTCCACTAGCAACTATTATTTTTTTTTGCATAGTGTATACTCTTGTTTTTGTATAAAAACCACGTATGTTCTCCAAAGAAATGTTTACTTTATATTTATATGTTTGTGTATTTACGTGTGTCTTGCCAGATCTGAAGAAAGAAGAATAATTACAAGACTTTGTTTTAAACTTGTTACTCTTAGAACTAGTACTGGCCATTATACTTATCTTAAGACTTGTCTTATTTTAACATCTTTTTAACATGATGTGCTAACATAAAACCGAAAGTTTGAGTAAAAAAGTTTGTTAGTTGTTTTTATTTAAGTCACTGTTTTATTTTCTCACGTTGGACCCACAGGCTCTTGCTTCACCTGCATGGACAAGGCCAGATGTCCAGACCTGATAACGATATATGTGAAAAATGATCGTCTGGTCTATGACAGACCCACTGAAGAAGAAATCCCAAAGTGTTCTGGAGCCCCTCCAATCACACAGAACTGCTTTGTGTGCCGGTCTCAGTCAGACGTGAACATCTACTGTCCCAACAACATCACAACATTTGAGGCGGAGGATTGCAATGGCTCAAGAATCACAAACATCATTAAAGGGTGTAAGTATTTCATAAAGCACTTATGCTGAACTCGGCATACGTACTGAGTTCCTCATTATGGAAGGAACTTAGCTGCAGTTCCTTTCGTAATATTTTTAACTCCTTGAATATTTTATGTGTTGACATATTTTCATCACAAACTTATGCAATAGATTAGAGCTGCCCAGGACATCAAACTGACATCATTATCACAATATCAGTACGCGTAGTATCACAATCACAAAGGGCCACTTGGACGCAATATTTGGTAGAATCTCATATTTGAAGTGTTTTGCTTTCTCATCCTGTATAACCTCTAAGGTACTCTAAGGTAAAGTATCACAAATTTCTGAAATTATGCAACCATATAACAGACAACACAAAATCGTGTGTAAAAGAGATATTGTTTCAACATTCTTAGAAAAAAAAATACATTTGTGTTTTGTAAAAAATATTTTTGCTGCAATTATTGCTGCAGGTGTATAGGGATATTTCTGTTCCAGCTTTTAATAGAAAGAATCTGTAAATTTTATCTAATCTTCTTTGCAACATAGCTCAAGGTCAATCAGCTTAGACGAGGAGTGTCTTTGTACAAATCTTACTTGAGATTGTTAATTGGTTTTAGGTCTACATTTTTTTCCCACTTATTTCACTTTTTCTCTACAGTTTCAACTCATGTTTTAATCATTTATTCAAAGAATATTGAAATGGAGATGTATTTAAAGTGTTGAAACTTTGGGGACTCTTTTCAGTCCAGAAAGATTTGAAATTTCATATCACAGTTTTGACATTTTAAAGTAAACTGAATAAAATATATGATATACCAGTTCTTATGCATTCTAAAGTCAAAACAAAAGTTATACGTTTGGACTTATCATATCAAACTTTCATATTTTTTTCTGTCAGGATAAGAATAAAAAAAAAATCTCCTTTCCTCTCTTGTCAAGTCTTTTGTCCATTCATGTCAATTTTATGTTTCATTTTTTGCCTTCAGGTGATGTGCAGCAGAAGTCTTACTCTGCACCTAATGGACCAGCTAACAAAGCGAGTATGTATACGGCTTGGATCACAACACTATTGGCCTTTGCAGGTCATCGAAATTAACTGTGATAATTGTCAACAAAGCACAGCTTTCTAGAGCTCTTTCTTTTATTGCAATGTGGCAGAAAATAAAGGGTGACAATGCTGGTTGGCACTGTCAGCTGGCATTGTCTGTGCAAGTGTAAAGCCATTTACAGCTGGACAGAGAACTGATATCAGTACAAATGGTTCTTTCTCTACCACTGAGCCCTGAGACAAACAGCAGGGCTGTCTTAATCTGTTCAGAAGCAAAAAACAATTCAAAATGCTTTTGGAAATGTATTTAACATCTAGTTTTTGTTCCAATACTATTTGCTATTTTTGCTTCATTTGTAGGTCCCACTCGTATACTTACTGGACTCGTGTGTATTTTGGTTGGTATGTATTATGGATCTTGATGGTGGGATAAATCCGCTAACCTTTCTGTTTTTGCTTTGACTCAACTTGACTTGTGTTGTCATTTTACAGTTGCTGTTGTGATGCTGCTCTGAATCACCGTGATCTACATTGTGAGTGTGCCTGGTTGGGAAGACAGAACTTGCTATTAGATGGTCATCATTTGTGCTTGCATGTAATTTTTATTTTCAGGTCTGGAAGAATCAAGATGGTTGGTTAAATTTTTCATAGATTTGGATTCTTAAATAATTCTTTACATTTTCTGATATTTTTTTTGTCTGATATTTTCTTTTTTTAATCATATATGCATAATAAACTCAAAAATCAAATAATCCCAAAAATAAAGTAAGTCAGCTGTGATATTTTTAATCTCTAATTATTTCCAGTAACACCATTTTGTATTTGTTAACATTATAGGAAATGTGATGAAAACATTAAAGTAAATCCAGGTAGAAACTGCTCCCATAGACACTGTTACTCCCTTGATTCTTTTTTTGTTGCTTGCTATTTTCCACTTGTGGATTTGTATTTTTCTTTGCAGTTAACTACACTTTTTATTATTGCTGTGATTTGCTAATCAATCAATTGCTATGTCAAGACAAAATTTTTCCGCTTACTTAATTTTTAAATGCATGCTAGTCTTATTGACATATTACTATTTGCAATTGATAAACAATAAAAATACTTCCAACATGATATGGTTTTGGTTATTTAAAGCTATTGTGATTTCAGTAAGTCATAATTATTTTTATATTGCCCACTTTTTTGAAAATCAAAAATCACCACTAATGAGAACAAGATTACTGTGTGGGCAGATATCACTGTTCAAAACTCTGCTTCTTTGAAGCATCAATAAAGCATAAAGTGTATTAAAGTGTCACAGTGAATCTATTAAACCAGTCTCTGAACTCTGACTATGATTTTTTTCCCCCAGTTTATTTTCCCCAAAGCACATTTTACATTACAGCAACACTAACAGTAGCTCAGAAATACTTTGATTAGACCGACTGATTAGTGTCTGATGGCCTCCCCTATGACACTCAGAGGATGCAAGTTTGCATTTAAAATTAAGCCAAAACTTTTATGAGTTACAAGAGTGTTGTGTAGCAACTACTTGTTGTGAAATGGTCTCTCTCTCTCTCAATATACTGCTCTGTAAGGAACAACTTTTAAAACCTACAAGCTCATCAGCTTAGCTTGCCCAAAAATGAAAAGCCACCACGTGGTGAATGTTAAATGTTAAACACAACTTCCTGGATTAGTCAAAAACTTACCAGACAGCTTTGGGAACGGCAACTGATCATGATGCACGCTTTCACAAAGCAAAGGACAAAATGTAAGTTTGTTTTTTGTTTTTTTTCAGTTTCTGATTAGTCTGGCTTGAATAAGTCACTGAGAAACCTTGTATATTTTGCTGAGTTTTAATTTTCTTTCACTTATCGTAAGCCTCGAAAACAGCTCCTGAGAAACTTCGGTGGTTAACCCACACCCCTAGCCTGAACTACCATTATGATCATCCATATTGTTCTGGGTTGAATGTGATTAACACATTGAGTATCAAAGCTTTTAACAGTTTTCATTCAAAGCTTTTAACGGTTTTCATTCAAAGCTTTTAACGGTTTTCATTCTTGGCAGGTAACACAGGAATACCTAGTATTCCTGGTATTGTTCAGGTATTCCACAGTTTTTGACTAGCAATACTTAATCGTAATAATGATGTGTTAATGTCAAATGCCAGAGTCTTTGAAAATTATTTGCTAAATAAATATAGGATAATGCTGTATCAAACAGAAGGTGTGTTTAGAATTATTTACAAACGTTTGAAATGTTAGTCTGGATACCTGCACAATCAAAAGAGAGGAAATGTTTGCTACATTCTCATTTATTGAATTTATGAAACAGATCCATCTAAATGTTACATAAATATGTTAAACTGATGCCTGGAACAGTGTTGCAATTGTCAACCCTTTTGTTTCTGCTTTTGATGAAATCCAAAAGCAGAAACAATCCAAAAGCATTTTGGACGACACGACTGCCTTACCTGCAGGGACAAAAGCAGATGCCCAAACAAAGATCCATGTTTAGTTTAGAAACTAGTTTAGTTTAGATTTCCCATCCTCTTTTTAGGTAATGAAACACACAAGAAACCTTATCCTCTGAGATATAAATCTGTGCTACTCACTATGTCATGGTTATATGTAATAAAACATTATGAAAGCAGAAGCACTTAAGACAGCAGCCATTACAGAGACTCCATGAGTTGCATCATGTTTTCTGAAATGGAGGGCAGAAAAGGTGCAGTAGAAGATCTGAAAAGACAAAATCACAATAACTTATTTTGTTGAAAAATAATAGGATAGGGATATGATATTAAATCTAGGTCCACTGCATGCATAAATGAAAACCATTATTTGTTATTCTTTGTTACCCATTTCAATGCAGTTTTATAGTTTTTGTCACTTTAAAAAACCCTATAATTGTGTTTGACTGAATTACAATATGGAGTGTACCATATTGCTGTCATATTGGAATTTCTTACAAAGATATAAAAGGATGTTTATAGAAAAAAAAGTAACACGATAGACATCAAGTCTATTTTGTTACAATTCTTAAGTAGAAAAAGTAATTTGGCTACTTTGTCGAATTACTTCTCAAGTTTCTTCAGCAATTTAATATATACATTTTAAATCAATTCTCATAAGTAGAAATGCACTTTTATTTCTCTTACAGTGTCTCTTTGCTATCTAGTAACTGTGATACTCACTATCTGTCCTGGATTTGCTGGTATGTTTGTAAACACTTTTAATCCCTTATTTTTATTTAATTGTTTAATATGATGGGCCATAAAATGTAACTATCCTTGTTTGATGAGTAATGTATTTTTTTTAAAACAGGTTTATTATCTTTTAACTTTTACCCAGTGAACGTGAAGCACATTATATGTTTCATTTTATCCAAGTTTCTCTAGATTGGACGACGCATGACTGCTTTACCTGCAGGGACAAGAGCAGATGCCCAAACATAGAGAGGATTTTTGGACCTCATGACTCCCTTCTCTTTGAAAAAGAACTTAAAGAAAACATCCCAAATTGTTCTGGAGTTCGTCCAGTAGGAAAGAACTGCTCGGTGTGCCATTCCGACTTCACCATCAAAATCTACTGTCCAATAAACATCCAGAAATTTGAGGCAGAGACGAATGGACTGAAAATTACCAACATATCTAAAGGGTGTAAGTAAGGCATTGCAAAACATTTATCTTTGATGATGTTAAGTGACTGTTGTTTCACCACTGAAATAACATTATTTAATTGCAAATCTGCTTTCTACTGTAATTTGAGAAAGGAGGCGAGACAAGAGTGAGTCAGATTTACAGAAGTACTTCATAAATCTATGACTAAACATAAGAATAAAAAACACATTGTCCTTTATTGGTTTCATGTGACCTACGTGAACAATAGTTCCTGCTGAAACAATGACATTTTAATGTAATATATATATAAAATAAATATTTAAATAATAATAATAGTAATAATAATAATAATAAATAAATAAAAATATAGAATACAAATATTTTTATTTTATTATATATTATTATTATTATATAAATATATGTTTTATTTGAATATTTTTTTTATTTCTTTCTTTTGTAGGTGAAGAAGAGCAAAACACCAACCCTAGATTCCACGGACCGACTACTGGTGCAAGTACGCATACACACACAACAGATGCATAGCACATTGTTGCTGCCAGGTGGCTGATTTACCATATCTGATAAAAATACTATTTAATGTGTATATCTAATAACGTGCTCAGTGAGTATTTAAAATAGACTGCATGCTTTAACTTTATCTGGTATCAGTCTGCAGTGATTATAGTTTACAGAGTGCTACAAGTAAGCATGTTATTTGCCTGATTGAAAAACCAATACTTTTATAATGAAGATTCACTTTTAAATTGAACATACATATATAGCAAAATTAACGCTAATGCTGCTTGATTTCCTTATCCCAATAAAGGCCAGATTTCTGCACACACTGGAGTAATATGTGTTGGTATGTATTACTGTGTACACATTACAAGTACAATAAAGGTCTACTTTCTGAAAGTAGGTTAACTCAGTGAGTGACAAAAATGTGTTTCTATATTACAGCTCTTCTTTTCATCTTGTCTGGGTGATCTTAAACAGAGTAAGTATGATTCATCACACAACTTTCAAAACATTTTACTGAAAAACTTAACAGTCCTAAATTTAGTTTATGCAGTGACATCTGATGTTTTCCTGTCTTCAGAAAATTTTGTATCAATGAATTATGAGCTTTGAATAAAACAACAACAACAACAACAACAACAACAAAACAAACATTTACAATACAGTAAGTCTGCAGGTACTGCAGAAACATACATAGACTCAGAAATGTATTACTGACCACTAGAGGGAAGTAGTAATCCATTCACCAGAAAAGGAGAGCCAAAACATGTTTAATCTAATTTTAGGGCTGATTCAAGCCAGACTTATTGTACTGAATGATATGTTTAACTAAATTTGACAGTGAGGAGAAAAGACTGGCCATGTAAATGCAAAATATTTCAACCACCGAAATGGATTCTCTATCCAGTCGCAATCCTGTCAACTTTGCTTGACAGCAACTTCTTAACATTTACAGTATTTTTAATCATTTGTTTTCTGTCATTTCCACAGATGCTCATTCACAGGGAGAGAAAATAAAGATGTCAACACATTTCAAAAATGTTTAATTGATTATGATTTGAGTTCATTTTAGAAAAAAAATAACCAGTGAAGTTTTTATTTTATTTTATATATTGTTAGGCCTAATATTATCCATACCCCTGTCAACAACATGTTTCTTCTGACTGCAAGTAACATTGTTGCTTTGGATGGGCCCAGCAAGAATCAACTTGAATCCAAAATATGAGTGTAAACTGTTTTTCTTTTTCAGAACTAATACTGGGTTTTTTTCATTGTTTTATTATTTCTTTGTTATCTATAGCAAAGCTGTTTTAGCCATATCTATAAAGCAATACATATTAAGTATCTTAATTGATTAAAAGTATATAAAGTCATACTTTCAGTCTCAGCTGCAGTGGTGACAGTCAGGGGGAGGGGACTTTTCTTTCAACTGGAAGAAATACACAGAGAAACAAACATCATGGCTGAAATGAAGTCAAAACATGAAAACTACTGAGCATAATATAATCACAGATGTGTTAATAAAACAGAAACACAGACTCAGAGATCTAAACATAAATAGTTCTAAAACTGAACATATAAAATGAAAGAACAACTGGAAAAAAGTTATTAATTGGTTTTAAAGACATTGTTACATTGATAGAAAACATTTAGAGGAAATTCTATAACAGGTGATTATATCAAGGTTAGGTTCAAAAGTTGCAATTAACTTCCAGAAAACAAAGTTATATTAGGCACTGGTTGATGGCACAAGGTGGATATAGCCACAACAGATCAAATAGATTATTTGTCTAGTCAAAAACCAGCTAAAAATGGAAATATTTTCCATGTAGTTAGTTGATTAGGTCATAACCAGTCATGAATCTGAAACTCAATTGTGAAACTGTAATTTCTAGACAGTTTGATCCATATTTGACCACATGAGTATCCAGATCATAGATACAAGGTAAAAGTGCAGCTGCTGTCCACAGCAAAGTTAGGGGGGCAGTCACATCATCATCATCATCTTCATCATCCATCCAAGCAGGTAGGAGTGCCATGTTCTTTTGGATGAAAATGTTTACATACTACACTGATATTAAAGCCAGGTTGTTCAGGCCCTGTACAGATGCTTCAGAAGAAACTGCAGATTGATCACAAACAGAAATTATATATACCAAATGTGACGGATCAATATTTAAGATGAGCAACTTCACTTGACTAACAGTAAAGTAAATCAGAGGCCATAATATGTAATTTATGTTACATAAATCATGAGTGTAGCTTTTAATTAATCTAGCCTCTTAATTTTTCCAACAAAATGCTTAGGAGGAATTAGCCTGTATCCACTCCACTCCAGTTTAATAGGCATAACTTATGTATGGTGACATTTGGTGCATGCTGATAGCTGTTAGAGTGGGGATAGAAGCCAAATTTTTCAGGAGAGAAGCTAAAGATGCTGCAACATAAGGGCAATAAAGTTATTATATAAAGCATTTTCCTGAAACGGCTATTGTTAAAGACCCTCTATATGATGGAAAAAAGAAACGATCTACTTCTCTGACCTTCTTTTGTCTGTTGTTGGATCTCTTTTAGTTTCAGTAAATCATGAGCAGCATGACTGCTGCACTCTGCACATTGGGCTTCAATGTGATTTTGAGGGACAATTAAATCTGATGTGTTATGTAATGAAAAGCTTTTCTTTTTGTTTATTCCAGATAATCAATGATATTAAATTAAGAAATTAACAAAGCTGGAATTTTCTGCATAATTGCCAGAACAAAACTTATATACTGATATTTATCTCCCAGAATACCAAAAAACTTACCTTCACTGGACAACAAAGACAGTCATAAATGTTGACCATCCATGCCCAGTATAGAGCATAGAGGCCATGTTTGTACTAAAAACTGGAAACGCATTATAGTCTGGTATAAGTATTTATTATGTAAAAATGCCTGCAGTTGCCCTCTTTTTTTCCTGGGAATACAAATAATGGATTTCACTTCAGCTTTTACTGCTACAAATACCATATACTCATAACAGTATTCATAATAGAGCAGGGAAGAAGCAAAAGATCAACAGAAGGGACAGTGTGGCAGGCAAAGGTGGCAAAGAACATACAAGTGAAAGGAGGTGGAAAAAAATGAAGAGGAAGACCCTTGCACAGATGAGATGTAAGGAAAATGCTGCAAGGCTTGGTGAAACCTATGTCTCTATGTGAAGCCAATGGATAGATTTTTTTGTACCTTGAACTGCAGGTGAGGAGACAAAAGTCTAAGCCAAAGCAAAAATTATATATGAAAAAGAGAGTGTGTGTTTGCTCTGTCTCCTCCAACCCCGTGTCATTTGCAGTGGACAGCTGTTCACACAAAGGCAGATTCTGCTTCAGGTTTCTGTCTGTTAAAGAGCAGTTCTGCTTTCATGCATGATCAGTCGGAGCAACTGCTGCAAAATTAAAGACTTGATGCAATCAGATGGGTTTCCATAGTTTTTGGTACTAACTGGAATAATAAGCTGAAATGACCTGGCTACTAAAACAAGAATTGAAAATATACCAAAAGTGGTGTCTTGAGAAAATGGAGCGTCTGTTGAAAATTTCTTTGCTGACAAAATCAGTAGGGAATTGGTGACCTTCTAAATAATTCAATCACTTGTTGTAATTTGTGTGTAGTTATGTCTACATTTTATTTTTATTTGCAAAATGCTGTGAGATCACATTCATTGTGAATTGGTGCACTGCAAATAAAATTAATTAAACTGAATACATATTACACCCCTAAATATTTATGAAATCTCACCATACCATCCTCACTCATGATTTAATAAGGGCTTTTATTTGCACATATTCCTATTTCTTATTTGTTGAGGGAAATCTATAGAGTTAGCTCCCTTTCACTATTATAGCTATCACTTTTATTGTTGAGCAAGGATATTTTTTTGGATTTGCTAGACTGTATGGCAGAACAATTTTCAAAACTGTTTAAAGTTTCTCTCTGTCTGTGTTATGAAACTGTTAAATCAAATGTTATCCACAGTAGTGGAAGCAGTAAAAAAGCATCAGGGGTTGAAGCCTGAGGTCAATAAAAGCCACATTGTTAAAAGCTTTGAAAAAAAAAGCTACACAATACAGTGATGTTTAAGACAAGGAACGTTGAGTAAAATACATTCTGTGGTAGTTTATGACACCTCTACCTGAATAAAGGGCCCCACATTTTGTCTTTAAATTTTCATCAACTTTATTAAGCCACCAAGCCCAAAGATCCATAGTAAAGTATGTTAGTGTGTTGGTAAATACAGCGTTGGAAATTCAAACCCAAAACAAATCTAACACTGGTTGATCCTTCAAATTCGATAAACAGAAGGCCAACAGTAAGGTTTTTTTTTGTTGTTGTTGTTGTTTTGTTTTACCAATACTTAATACAAGAAATACATATAAAAGAAAATGTGTTCCCACCACCAAACATGTTTAAAATGCAAGTTTTTCATCCCATACAAATGCTCTTAATAAAAAAAATTTCCTTATAGTGCAGTATTTTCTTTTAATCATAGTTTTAAAAAAATGATCCATAGGGATTCAGAAGCATTACTGTTAATGTTTGTGCAAAGGCAAAATATTTGAAGGGAAGATTTACGGCTCCATAGTCTCATCAAGCCAACATAGAAATTATTGGCAGCAGGAGGGTGAGCAGCAGAGAAGCAACCAAACCAGGAGAGAACCCAGGAACACTAGAATAAAAAGAAAATAGATGATTAAAACATTTTAAAATATTTTACCTTACATATTTTGTCTGCATTATCTGCATTACAGCACTAATTGGATGTCAAGTATTTATTTTAGTATTTATTTTCTGGGATAGTTGTGGTTATAAGATTTGTACATTGTTAAGGTGAAACTATATTTGACGCTAAATCTCACCCCGTTAAGAAACATGGGCCTTCATCCCAGTTTCTAGAGCGAGCTGTGATGTTCATTGGTTGCACTTGAGGACACGGTAGGGAGTTTCCATTAACCAGAGGAGTGAGATCTACCAAAAGATTAAAAAAAATTAGTAACAGTAAAAGAAAAGGAAAATTCAGTTTCATCACCTTAACAAGTTTTTTTTTTTTTTTTAAAACAATCCTGACTTTGCGCACCCACTCAGCCCATGGGTCCTACCCCAAGATTTCTGGAGATCATACTCTACATATCCCTGTCCTCAATGTTCCCATAGAACTTGTTAGTCCACACAATGGATGAGCCAGCATTGTTTCAGTTACGGATCTCTAAGAAAATTCTTGAAGAGTCCTGTCTCTACTGGGACTCATAATGTTGATTATTTATTCCAAAGGAAGCTATGAAGAGGCCTAATTTTATTTGAGAATTTTCTAATTTTCCATAAACAACTTCAATTTTCATTCGGTTTTGGTTCTGGTTGCCACATAAATAAAACCTCAAACACCCTAACAATAGCAGTGTTGTGTTTGCCAAAGTAATACTGCTTTTGGCATCTCCCCTTTTTATTAAATAAATAGGTGGCTTTGATACGAAAGCAATAATTTGCTCTGAGCAAAGACATGCCTACTTACCTTCAAAGCTGAACATGAAGATGGCGCTACCTCCCTTCAGAAACTCCCTGGTTTGCAGTTCTTCCAAAAATGCAAAATAGTGGTACCCAACCAGAATCCCACCATAGACTGCCTCACCGTTTTCATGAAAAACTATGCTTCCATTTTTACGAGGGTTGTCCCACCAACTGATACCTGTTTATATAAAACATATTTAACATAAGACAAAGTAGATATTGTTACCACTTTATTATTAAAGATTTTCCTTACAGTAATTTCCAAATTTTGTAGTGCACCTACCATTAGAGAGGTTGTGAGTTTCATGTGTAACTTCACTCCATTGTTTTGACATTTGCATTTTCATGTCAGGGGTTTGATCCAGCATTTGGAAGGTCACTTGTTTTTGTAGACAAGGCCATTCCAGCTGGTCATCATTGTCACCAGACAAGATCTCCACATACATTCCAAGGAATGTCTTGTAGAGTACAGCAGCTATCCGGTAAGCATAGCCCTCTTTGGAGTACTGCCGTGGACTGTATATTGCAGTTCCAAAAGTACTTGTGTTTAAAAGTCTCCCTAAGTTATCAATCTGCAGGGTCACATGTGGACACTCGGTCTCAGAGAGATTGATATCATCAATGGAGAAGCCGCCTGTAGAGTTTCCTGCTCCTTTCCGAACCTCAAACACCACCTGAAAGTTTTTGGTGGCATTGAGAGAAACATGATGGAGCTTCCAGTGAGATGTTGGAGGACCTGGAAAGGATGTTTTTAGGTCACCATGATATACTATTTAAGTGCCTCGGTGCACATGTAGAAAAGCATATTATCAAACGTACTAACTGCCAGAAAATAACAACATAGAACAGAAAAGCCTTTATCATCAAGAAAATATAAGATACTTAGAGAAATTGGTAAAAGCATCCGCATGATTTCATCGCAGATATTACCAGTGATCTGTCCCATGAGGCGGAGAGTTCCTCTGGTGTCATGCTCATCCTGAAACTCTCTGATCCAGATATTAAGTTCATCTGACTCATTTCCACTGTGGAAATAGTAAAACTGCAGACATTGGACTTTACATTCCCTTTGCGTACTCATGATTTTGGTCCCAAGCCAAGCTGAATCTCCCTCTTGACCTGATGATGTGCTAGCATGGATGAAATATCCTGTTTCCTGACCTAGAATTATAAGGTTAAAAACAATGTGGTAATATCTTTCTTCCATCATCCTATATACATATTCAGGTGAAACCAGATATTTATAAACATTGCCTAATCAGACACATTTTTTCTCAATGAGTCATAGTGAGTCATATCTTTCCTGTTTGAACATGCTTTATTCCTAAATGTCAGGTTAATTAGATATGTTTGTCTAAAATTTTAAAGTTAGTATCAAATGTCTAATTCACTACATATGTGAATTAGACATTGCATATGTAGTGATGTCCAATTTTGCTTTATTTTATCAAGATCTTTCTCTCTTGTTGTTACTGAATTCAGCAAAGAGAAATAATTTTGGTATTCCAAACAGACCTAAACATTAAAAACAAGATTGGATTTAATGTGTGGCAGTGAGAAAAAATGAGACTATGTATCTTTTTATAACAGCATGTAAATGTAATGTAAACATAAATATATCATTTCAAATATTTACTGTAGTTTAAATATAAATCAGATATACATGAACATGCAATAACATTTACTTTTGAGTAAATTTGAACTTCATCCTGTGTCTGATAATTGTGCTATGCACAAACTATTTCATGCTTTATAATATAAAATGTAATGAATATGCTTACCATTTTCTCCGTTTCCAGCAGGCATAGTGGTGTGGTCAGTGCTTGGACCCCTACTGACTTGTGTAACCACCTCCCACTCACTGCCACTCTGTGCACAGCTGCTCATTTGACTCATTTGGCACATCATCCCATTAGAAAAGTCACAGAAAAACATAGAGGCAATTGTGGAATCTGTTAATAAAACATTTTGAATATTTAAATATTTGTCTTGACCATAGTTTCATTATTTCATAAGTGCAAGTTAGCTAAAAGGATAGATACACCTTATATCTAGATCAAATAATACTTTGAGTCAAACCTATTAGCAACTTCTTCCTTGAGTTCAATGAGGATCAGGGGTGCAATGAAGAAATCAAATAGTCTTTATGGCATAGTATATATATATCAATAGTAACAGCCAAAAGTTTGAAATGCCACAGCCTCCACTTATCAATGGATACACACTTTAGCACATGAAGTGTAAGTCTTTAGCTTTTACGTGCCTAAATAAGATAATCTACAATTCACTTTTCATTGTTTTCTTCATTTTCCATGCTGTAGACATGTTTTATTATTGTGCTTATCAGAAAAGACCATGTTCAAGGATTATTTACACCTCTGATTTACTTAACTACATCATAGATTTATTTCCATATGTAAATAGAAATCTGTCATTGGAGGAGTCTGGTGTTAAATTATGTTAGCTTAATTCTGCATTGACTGTGCTTAAATTCGTGTGCTTGCAAAGTTTCATGCATCTGCAGGCTTTTCATTTGACAGTTTTCTATATTCAGAGCTAAGTCGTGTTTTAATAGAAAATTCATAAAACTCTTTGTACTGCATACAACAGTGTACAGTACTGTTGTGACATTGCAGTGGATATTTCAATACTGCCAAAAATGCAAAATTATTAAAGTTGTGTCTTTCCTTAATATTTACTTGATCCAAACAATGCAACATCATCTTATAACTGAATTCAATATTATGTATTTTCCCAAAAGCTTAACTAGCTCAATTGTTCCAGTTCAAAACAATTTACTTAAAATGCAATGAAAATTAGCTTCCTGAAAGTCCTGATAATTCCTGTAATATATTAGATATTTTACTTCTATCACAAGTTTGACATTATGTTGAATGTCTGTGCACAAAGTCAACTTTGACAAAATCAATTTGTTTTAGTAATTTGAATAATCAGTGTTGTAGGACTTACTGCATTTGTAGAGAAGTTTCAACTTTTGAGCATCTCGAGGACTCATATCCAGTCTTTGACCAATAACATTTTGGAATTTGTGGTCTTTGGTAATAATCGTAGAGCCATTGCCATTGCTTAATACATTTTTGCCAGAGTGCATCACTGACAGGTAGTCATATGACACATTATGGGTGGTGCTCAGATCACTGCCGAGCTTCTTAAAATAACCTTCTTGTCCTAAGAACACAAAAATACCCAAATACTGAACACAAGATTTTTTTTTTTATGGAAATAGACTTAAAAATAAATGTTATTAGTGACTGACTATTCATAATTAGACATTATATTACAGAAATACCAAATACTAGTGTATTTGGTATTTCTAATCCTGCTACAAATCTACAAAGTGGTTGAAAGACTTACTACACACTTTTTGCACAAAGTACACAATCAAACTTCTTCAAAGTTGTTAAAGTTAAATGTAGCACTGAGGAGATAATATCATACAAAATAAGCTATGCTGACCTGACTTATTGTTTTTATGTAATTATACTTCCAATCTAGCAATTACTAAATGTTTTATACCCTTATTTCATCAAACATCTTGTTGCACCAAAATGGAACAAGTACACTGTAATAAAATTATTAAACCTGCTATGACGTTGTCAAAGTTTATCTGCACATAGTCGTCCCTGTCATGCCTGATTTCCTCATGGTAGAAGCCAAGAGCATGAAGAATTGTATGTTCAACAATAGCAATGTGATCACAGCCTGCATCAATAGAGAGTTCCTGTCCGTTGAGGAATGTTCGGCCAACGTATGACCAGCACCTAGAATAGAAAAATTACAGATTATTGTGAGAAACAGCAACGTCAGTGCACAGATTATCGTTTTACTCTATACTGGTCATGGCTAATAAGTGAATGTACACTGTTTATTATTTCTCTGTCTATCTTTCATTTTTTTCTTTTTTTTGACATTGTGAATGCATTATTCCTGACACAAGACTACACACAAATATCAATGTGAAAAGTGAGTTGCATTTATTGAACCTTGCACAAATACACAAAACGTACATACCCAACTAAGTTTTGGAATGAAAGGTAATACTCCTCAGTATCCCTTGGTTTAAAGTCAATGCATGACTTCACTCTGAACTGGTCAAAAGCTCTCAAGATGACTCCTTTAGCATTCAGGTCTTTTGTCAATTAAAAAAAATAGCAGTGGAGAAAGAACAACAATAAAGACAGTTACACTCTGTAAACAGACAGATTTCAAGTAAAACAAAACATTTTCACTTTAGTCTGCTTTGGTTTCTTTTATTTTACTCAAGGTGTGACAACTACTTTTTTATGAGTATTTGCTGTATGTTCTGTTTTCAATCAATTTAATCCTTTCTTTCCTTATCAACTAGACAGCACACAATTAAAAGACATGTACATGTATATGTATATTTTAAAGTCACCCAATGACATTACCAAGGCTTTTGTCCAACACGTAGGGAACTGGAGATTTCCACAAACCGGGCCCTCCTAAAATAGTACTTCTTGCATTCTCTGGCACCTAAAATAATAATCATGAGAAAAGAATTTGTGTGACAATTTTTGTAAAACAATGTTTAAAAAAAAAGTTCAAAGTTTGCCTGCATAAATAAGAATCTTACCTCATGTATGTCATCAACTAACAAATCTAAGATAAAACATAAAAGTTAATGATTTAGTAAAAAAAAAAGAACTAAAAGGTAATACATATCCATTGTACAATTTGATGTAAACATAGTTTTTCTTTTAATAGAAAATCAGTTTTACCATCTGTGGTGTTCTTTTTCTCATCAATGTCTGCAAAAACACAAAATGACTCCTTTGGAGATCATGGTATATAAAGACCAAAAAGTAGAATTTATAAAATAATATGAAAAAACAAAACATAGTATAACTTACCAACCATATTCCCATCATCCTACAAAAAACATACATATAAGAATTAAAAAGAAAATCTTACATAAAATCTTAAAAGAAACAGATAAAATATGTTTCTTTTTGTTGTTTTGGAAAGGTAGCTGTATTTTTCTAAATTAGTCTAGAAATCATAGCAAATGACATGCACTTTAATATAGTTTTTAAAAGTTCACATTTTTTGCCTTAACCAGTTTGCTATTGTGCTGTGAGCCATTCCTGGATGTTTTTAAAGTAAAAATGGGCCCTTTCTCTTCTTTAAATCAACAATTGTTTACAATGAATAAAATGTGCATAGAGAAAGTTAAATTATTGCCTTAAGGAATCATTGAGGAAAAAAATCAGAAAAGCTTAGAGTTGGTGAAAATGTAAAGTCAAAATAAAGTTTTTACTCTTAATATGCAAAAAATCTGCGTATAGTAAGTTTAAGGATGCAAAGAAGCATCCTGAATATCTGAAACATTATCAAGACAAACAGTATCTTGTAAAAATAAATATACAAGTGAATCATCTTATTTGAGGTTTGACACATAATCCACTAATTTAACTATTAACAACAGAGATGAAGGTTTTGGTTGACTGTTAGGGAAGATTCAACATTACATTTGTGTTTTTAAGATTTGTAGATAATATGTCTAAAATGTGTTAAAAGAAAATCCATGAAATTCAGTTTATAACTCCTACTATTTCCTGTCCGACGTTTTTCTTTTTAAACTTAAAATAGATGACATTCAGTCAGTAATGTATGGTAGCTCACATAAAAAACACCTCTTGTATTTTATGTAGTAGTATGCATAGATACTTACAACGCTCATGGCGAGGGTGGATGAAACCACCAAGCAGACGACAAGAAAAATGCAGTCTTGCATCTTCTTGGCTAGTCTTAGCATTGCACAGAGTGATTAAAGAAATGCAGGCATGCAGATGTTGTAAACTCAAAAACTCATGAACAAAATATTGAATCAAACCAAAAACAGTTGTAAGGACAAGGGCTGTACTGAGACTCAGACATTTATATACACGGTCAGATGACGGCTAAAGAGGAAGAGATGGTAGTGAATCAAAACACAGCTGCTTGATATGAAATTCTAATTTTTTTATGAATAGGGGGAACCAATGCAAAAGCGGAAACTTAATTTCATGATACAGTAGAATTAAAATATCTCCTGTTCTGTAACACAACCTAGGCAGTAGAATAAATAAAGAGCAAATACCAAACCAAACTTGATCTTTCAGACTGTATACAGTATACTGCATACACACATACATAAAAGTGGTTGGACTGTATACAACTCTCAGGTATGTCTTTTGCAAACTAAGAACAGAGATATGAGACCACAGTTTGCACAACCTCAGCAAAACTGAACAATCAAAGACTGGAAAAAGCTTTTCTTGATCAAATGAGTCTTCAGTCAAAATAATCTGCATCAAGGATCTGAATTTGGCAAATGAAAGGTGGTCAAGGTGGTGGTAACTTATTAACTTAGTTAATGAGAACAAGCAAAACATTACCACCATATACTTTAGTATTACTGTTGACAATGTTCATTCCTTTTTGACCACAGTTTACCCCTCTTTCATTTGATACTGCCAGTAGATAATGTGAGGATGTGGGTTTCCTGAATATGTATTCTGGTCTATTTGGTCCCCGTGTTTTAGTGTCTTGTTCCCCTGATTAACCCCTAGTGTATTTAACCTCACCAGTGTCTCCTGCTCCTCACTGGATCCATGTAATCATTTGCCTCCTTATGTTTGTGTTTGTGTCTCGTTCACCTCTAGTTCCTGGCATTGTGTACAACTTTAAACTGCGCTAAATTTCTCCACCTTATTTTGGGTCTCACCGTCTAAATCCTCATCATCAACACACTCACTTCATGACGGATAATGCACTATTTCACAAAGCTCAAATAATTGGAAACTGGTTTCTTGAATGTGACAATGAGTTTGCTTGCCAATCCCCACCACTGTGCCGTATAACTTCAATGTGATGGAGTATTGCCTTCTCTAAAGTTATAACATAAAGACTTTATGGCCTAGATGTTGTAAACCTGGTTCTAGTAAGGTTTGCCTAGGAAAATGGGAGATAAATATGCACATATACATAAAACTGGTTGGCCCTGAGGCAGTGGCGCAAAAAGTGGGTATGCAGCGCATGCAACGCATAGGGGCGCTGCACCAGAGGGGTCGTCAAGACCCTGTCTGGAGGGGGCGGTGCGCTGATGATGTCTTCGCATACACTTCAGCGCCCTTATGCTCCTTCACCTCTCGCACATAACGGGTAAATGCAGCGAGCTTTACCTTTCACGTGTCTTCGTCTCGGGGTGTAGAGCGAGCATATGCTTTCTACGCTCACCCGGACATACCTTCCTTCGTGGGGGGGGGCTCCAATTTATGTTTTCGCATCCACCTGAATAATATGCAGTTGCCCCACTGCACTGAGGACAAAGACATGTTTTACACTTCAAGCAAAAAGCTAAATAGGGAAGTATTTATCAAATGTTAAAATAATTATTCCACTTTATTGTTACATTTTTCTATTATTATTTGTCATGTATTCTAACTTCCCTACGATGTCTGTTTATTGAACCATATATCCTCTTTTAAATGATTTTAACCTTTAATTACTTCTCTAAATGTTTCCAGCAACAGAACTAACAGAACCTAGGCATTAAACACGCAGTGTTATGAAAAATATTTAAACAAACATTATTGGTTTTCTTGTTTTGTGTCTTTGACGCAATATCAATCTATTTACTATGTAAACATCTTAAGACCACACATATTAATTGCTAACTTTTGTTATTTTGAAACACTTTGTATGAAAAGGGGCATTATAAGCTATTCTGAACTGAATATAGTTGTTGACGATTGTGGGAATATGTAATAAATGAGTTTAAATCAACAAATACCACACATTTAGTTTTTTTAAACCTTTTTATTAGAATGTAGCACCAAGAATGATTGTAAAATATGTTACCAACAGACAATTTTTTTTGCAATTATGACATCTGAATATTGTGAATTTCTCATAATTAGCCTGTAATAACAAAATTAATGCACAAAAATAAACTCTGGATTCAAACAAGTGTTGTCTAAACAACATCCCAAAATAAAATCTGAATGCTTCAAAGAAAAACCCATCACCAAATGTTGATATTGCTGACAAATGAATTTCAGGATTACACTTTGAAAACATACAAAACTGTTTCAAATTGTGACCCACATCTATTCAGAAATAATTGTTCATGATGCTTGCCTCTTTTAATCATGTTAAACAAAACAACATAAAGTAGTTAGAATAAACAGAGGGATTTAATGATAGTGTTAATATAATATGAATGTGTGCATCACGGCGCCAGAAGCATCACAGCCAAAAGGAAGATGAGGAACGGGTAGGGCACCACAGGAGCAGAAAACCCAGGTGCGCTAGAAAAGTAAATAAACTATTTATTGTACATGTTAAGTACTTTTCAATAGTCTTGAAAAAAGATATGTCTATGTAAAGTACCAATCGTTTCCCTTAAAAGACTGTGTTTGAGTTATGAGGCCATTGATATGTGTAAATGATGAGTCACCAAAAGAGCAAAATATAAAATAAAACAAGGAGGATTTCAAATAAAAGGGCAGCATAAATCACTTAAACACAGTTGAGTGGTAAAGTCAGTGCGTACGTTTTCCGTAGCATTAGACATAAGAAGCTTAGTGTGCGTGTGTGTGTGTGTGTGTGTGTGTATGTGTGTGTGTGTGTGTGTGTGTGTGCGCAGTACGGCATTTATAATATTGCAAAAAGAATATCGATTTAAATATTCGTTACCATTGATTAATAAGCTATCTTTTTGACTAAACATGTAAAATGTGTAATTTTATCTTAGGGTACCTGGTGCTTTCAGTCGGAAGAGGTGGAGTGATGGTAGATGTGGGCCTATAAAAATAAAAGGAAACAGCAGAAACAACAGAGGGAATTATTACAGTTCATCAATTACAGGCACACTACATGCAAAGCTTTGGGTTGTATAGACTTAATTTAGGAAAACTATCTTTCTGTCAATGGTGGCAATGGAATGATGGTGGATGAGAAAATACTAACAACTAACTTTTATTCCAGTAGTTATCACCATTTACTGGAAAATTATGCAATAATACCAACAATACGATTATAGGTAAAAAAGGGAACTTCCCACTGACATCAAGTAGTTTACTAGACAGGAATAATGAAATTTAAGTTAATATGCTTTACAATGTAGTACTGTGATGTTTTGTTGCATATATACAGTATAGTTTATCAGTAATTTGCAACAGTCACTCACTGTGAGCATGGACCTTCATCCAGGTTCGGGGGAGGATTTGTAATGTCGACTGGTCTTAATTGAGGACATGGAAGAACTGATGCAGTGTTTAGTGGATTGAGATCTATTAAAAGGAAGAACAGTCATTACAGAAAGCAAATGCAAGTTCATTTAGTTGAACTATTTCAACAAATCACCAGTTTTAATGCACTGGTATCTTGATGTCATTGTTGACGTTATCTTTGTTTAAAGTAGCTGGTATCTATCAGTCAGTTATGCCTTAATAAAGCTTTAAACATGGCTTGGATATCAAGTGTTATGATTGGTTTACCAAAATAAATAAAACAATATTATAAGTATTATAAGTTGATATTCTTATAATAATAAAAATACTGTAATGGTTTAAGAATGAGTTTGACTTCAGGTATATCATTTGCTACCTGCCCTCCCACTCCCACCGTTTTCTTCGGAAATTAAGTGTTTTATTCAAACTTCCCTATTTTTGCTTGCTTTTTTATACAAATAGCTTCTTTTATTTTTTTGTCATGGTAACAAAAAACAGAAGTGTATTAAACAGTAAACAACAGTATTAATGAAGACCAAATGTGATCACAGTGTTATGGTCAGTATTCATTTTATTCAGACCTCTATTTAAAATAAAAGCATTTGTTTTTTTCAACAAGTCCACTGTGTTCCTTTGATCCTTTTATGATATGTTGCTTCTTTCAGACTGGAACCTTTTTATTTTTACTGAAAGCAGGAACCCTGAAGCATAACCTAGGGAAGTCAGGATACCTGAAGCTTCAAGAGAACACATATGTGCAATCACAGCAATGAAACCACAGTGCTCCTTTCACATTTATTTTTAACAAAAAAAACTCAACTTGCCTTCAAAGTTAAACATGAAAATAGCACTTCCTCCCTTTAGGACCTCTCTGGATCGCAGTTCCTCCAAAGTTGCAAAATTCTGGTATCCATAAAGAAGTCCACCGTAGACTAACTCACCATTCTCATAAAAAAGAGCAGTTCCAGTCTCACGAGGATTATCCCAGACATTAGTACCTGTGTATATGAAGAAATGTACGATAAACATGAGATATGGATTGGGCTATTTTACTTGGAGAATGTTATTATACCATAATTTTCAGATTTTTTCATAAACATACCGCTAGAGCTCGTGTGAGTCTGGAGAGAAGCAAAGCTCTGTTGTTTTGACATTTGCAGTTGCATGTTGGGGTTTTGATCCAGCAGTGTGAAAGACATTTCTCTTTGCAAGCAAGGACACGACAGCTGGCTATCATATTTACCGGACAAGAGCTGCACAAACATTCCAACATATGTCTTGTACAGAATTGCTGCAACTCGATAAGCATAGCCTTCTTTGGAGTATCGTCGTGGGCTGTATATCCTGGTTCCTGAGGCACTTGTGCTTAGCGTTTCCTCAATTTCATCAATCTGAAGGGTCACGTGTGGACACTCGGTCTCAGAGAGGTTGATGTCATCAACTGAGAAGCCGCCCGTAGAGCTTCCCGCTCCTTTCCGAACCTCAAACACCACCTGGAAGTCTTTGGTGGCATTGAGAGAAACATGATGGAGCTTCCAGTGAGATGTTGGAGGACCTGCAGGGGGACATTTTGAAACAGGTGAAAATGCATATTATCATAACAAATGTAGACATTGATAGTTTTTAAGTTAGTT